AAAATGGCAGGAATGTCTCTAGAAAAAAAACGAGAGCCCTTCAATCAACAACAACCTCAATTCACAAATTTATATCATTCTTTCAAATCATTAGCAATTGATAAGATTACATAAGCGTAATCAAAATGCGTCTTGCTAGCTTTTGATTGAACATAACTATAGAATCACACCTTCACTCTTTCATGAATGGGAAACTGTGAGGGTACTAATGGTCAATTCTTGTTTCCCGGAGAAATTATCATAGGGACGCTTAGTTCCCCTATACATTAGGCGCTCCCATTTCTTAGTTCTTGGACGCTGTTGCTAAAACTACAATTGAAACTGTTGTTCCTAAAAAAGTGACAAATCTTAGATCTGAGAGGCGCTGATAGAACGATGTAATTACTGAGAAGGTATTACTGTGAACTAAAATAGTGAAAAGAAAATCATTTATATTTCCCTTTATAATTACCATGATTAATGGTTAATTTACGGATACATTTCTAAAATTCAACAAAAATATAAAAAAGCACTAATATGAAACTAGCCGATACCGTTCATTAATTATTATGTAGTATCGTTGTCTAGGTGTGTGATATCACTCACAAAAAAACAAGAAATTTACAGAAAAATTAGCGTTTTTCCAAGTCTTTCTATTGATAGGCAAACGTCTGAAATGAAAGCGACGTTTAGTTAACAATGTTCATTTATTCTCATTGAACTGCTAGTATATGTTAAGAGTAGCAATTCCGAAGAGATTTTTCAGCAGCAGTTTATGCAGATATTGATGTTGATCAGTAATAAATAAAGAAAACACTGAAAGATACTTGATCTCCAGCTAAAATGGCTGGTCCATTCACTATAGAGGCATTTCCTTGCCCGTCTTTCGCTTTAGGTGTCTTACGCATAAAGCGAACGAAGAGTATATTGCTTTTAAATTCAATAAAAAATGGATATCAGCATCGATTGAGGCGAGCCCCTACAATATGATCGAGTTGAATATAAGGAATCGAATGATACCTATTGTAAAATATTTCATTGGAGCTTTCAGGTAAAACTGAGCAGATTCGGCCTCATTCACTATTCTGCTTTTTCTTCACTGGCGCGGTCGCTTTAGAAACATGCACAGAAAACGAACGTTTTTAATTTTTAATTTTCTACCGCTTATTATGCAACTGTTTTTCTAGCTAAAATTTGTTTCTTTATATCACAACATTCGTGGTATAAAAATTAAAATTTTATAATGGAAAATAGCAGAGATATGGGAGTTTCAACGTACACTTATGTGAAGTTCGTTCGCTTTAGATGCATCGACTCTAAAAGCACTTCGAAAAAACTTATGCATGCCGATCTACTGAAGTAAAGAATGTTGAAATACATATATTTTGATCTATTCTGTGAAATATGTCAAGTGAATCAAAGTGACTACTGTTGCACCTTAGTCCGATATGCTAAAAATGTTCAGAAGTTAATTGAGTTAAAATGATACCGGAGTGAATGTTAGCCTCTCGTGCACTAATATCCCATACCGACAGCCAAACTCCACAGTCACATCTCTCATTAACACATAAAACATATGATAAGATTATAAGTTAAAATTTAAACGCGAAAAACATATTATTGTTAACAGTAGAATAGGTTTTATTTAAAATTTCTAACGTTTGATAAGAAAAAAAGAACTTTGGGTGTATGAATTCAAATCCAAGTTCAACAATTAGTTCTTTACAAGCTTCAGAGTAATTTGACTTGAATATTCTACCATTTGAATTAGAAAAGAAACTATGAAGCTGCATTCACCATTTAAACAAAACAAAAAAGCTTTACCAATGTGACAATACTTTGTGCTTGAATATCCTTACTTTCGAGAATGGAAGGAAGCATTAGATTGTAAAATGAAACTGAATTTTAAAAATAAATGTTTACAAATCATATTGATTTTTAGCTGGCATTTCCTAAAGTTGGTGATGAAAGACAGAATCTGCAGCTTCAGCCTTCATTTTGATTTGATAAATAGATCTATATCAATGTTGGTATCGTTTATTCCTTTGATATCTTAACTTTAGACAATAAAAATGAACTATAGAAATAAAAACAAAAATGTATAAAGTCTCATTCATATTTTAAAAAATTTTGTTAAGTGATCATGAATCGAATAGGAAAATAATCATGAATATTCACTTTTAAACAACTTATGTTTAAAAAAATAAGTGAATATTGTAACAAAAAACTTATACGTAGAAATATTTATTTATACCTTTTTATGATTTCAGCGGCAAGTACCTGAAGTGAGACTAAGCCGTTTTCATTGGAAAACAATGTTCCAAATTTGAAATTTCTGTTTGTTCGATATGATAAATATTCTTCAGGCGCTAGCAAAGGAAACTGAGTCGAAGCAAGGCTAGTTGTTCCAAAGCTCGTCAAAGTGGGAATGAACATCAATAATATGGATGCAATTAAATAAATCAGATGTTGCTGAAACACACATAACTCGTAGAAACTGTTGAAGTTGAGCTGTTTATCTATTTTGGGCCGTTGAAAAAATAAAACAAAATAAATGCGGAAACTTCGGATTTAAATCCGAGAGTTATGTGTACTTCAAAAAGTGAATCATACAAATCAATCATCCTAGACTGTCTGAATATCAAAATTATACTGTGAAATCTACCATTTAAAATGTTGTTTTCTATTGTGCGTTGCCAAACCAATAGGACATGGGACCGAATACAGCTCAAGTTTGAACTCTTTCCCTTGATTTACCCTAAGAAAGTCGTTTTTCCTGTAACTTCATTTCTATTGGTCACTGCTCAACTAATAGTATTTCGATGGAAGTGCAGTACACATTCGAGTTCTCCATCTTTAAAAACCTCGAAGTATCATTACTGTGATCGGAAGATAAAGCTCTGTTTGTGGATCAATTAGATAGTGGACCAAAATATAATCTAGTTCTCTTTTAGTATCCTTGTGATAGGTGAGTCAACCTTCTTGCTTCTTTATGTTTTATATATTATTTTGTAGCTCTTGAAATTCTCTATCGAATGGTATATAATAGTTGGGGTTTTAGTTGACTATGATAGGAAAAGTCTTTTACGAAAGCGGGGATGGGTCGATTTTTCCATAGGAAGCTATAGGAGAAAATGGGTATTTTTGCAATAACTCAGGAACGGCTCGGCCAATCCTTCTCATTTTCGAACTCCACCGAGATATTCTAAAGACTGAACCGTGTAGAAAATTTCATCGTGATCGGACTCTCCTTTCTAAAGTTATCATGTAAACCGACGGCCGGCCGGACACACTGACCGATTCTAGTAGTGTACTCACTTTTTGAGTACACTAATAAAAAAAAAAACAAGTAAAGATTTCCAGTAAAATATATTTAACTGTTA